GCACAATTTTGCAGTTATACATGAACATATATATATTCATTGTCACATTTTTTTCTCTGTGAGCTACCATAAGATCTTGTGTATATTTCCCTGTGCTTTGCATTATAATCTTGTTTATCTATTCTACAATTTTAAAATCCCGTGTATCCCTTCCCACCCTCCACCTCCTTGGCAACCACAAGTTTGTATTCTATGTCTATGAGTCTATTTCTGTTTTGTATTTATGCTTTGTTTTTTTGTTTTAGTTTTTTAGATTCCACATATGAGCGATCTCATATGGTATTTTTCTTTCTCTTTCTGGCTTACTTCACTTAGAATGACATTCTCTAGGAGCATCCATGTTGCTGCAAATGGCATTATGTTGTCGGTTTTTATGGCTGAATAGTATTCCATTGTATAAATATACCACATCTTCTTTATCCAGTCATCCGTTGATGGACATTTAGGCTGTTTCCATGTCTTACCTATTGTAACTAGTGCTGCTATGAACATTGGGGTGCAGGTGTCATCCTGAAGTAGGCTTCCTTCTGGATATAAGCCCAGGAGCGGGATTCCTGGGTCATATGGTAAGTCTATTCCTAGTCTTTTGAGGAATCTCCATACTGTTTTCCATAGTGGCTGCACCAAACTGCATTCCCACCAGCAGTGTAGGAGGGTTCCCCTTTCTCCACAGCCTCTCCAGCATTTGTCATTTGTCACCATTGTATTTCTGAGTGTTAAATCTTTTTCTATATTTCAATAGAAATTTATTCTATTTTTATATTATATGGATCTCTTACGTAAAAGTATAAAAGCTATTGAAATATAAGGAAAGTTAGGGTAGTCATTAATGGCTTCATGTTGAGATTCTTGGGCAAGTGGTAGTGATTTATGACAGAATGCTTATATACAGAACTATGCAGTACAAAATTGTAGCTGTATTTCTCTGTTTTACCCTCCTGTGTACACTCAATTTTAAGAAAGAAACCATGATTCATGGACTCATCTGTGGCAATACCATTTTAAGTACCACCTGGATTAGAACATAACATTTCGTACTTATGTCTCCTTAAGAAATAGACTACCATATTTTCTTCTTCAGAATTTCATCATTCAGATACAGTAGTCTTAAGTATTGAGTGCTAACTTCTTTTTCTGTATTATTCTAAAACCAAATCTTTATAATTACTTACATTACATTTGAAACTACTATTGGGACATTTATTTTGCTTCACAATATTTAATACAATATTACTGTTGTTTTTACTTCGATTTTAAGACCAAACATCACTGAAGACCAAATGGCTTATATTTGGCTAATACTGCATATTAGTATTCAAGTATTCCTGTATTAATTTGGTGCTTGATTTTATGGTTAAACACAGGGTACAATTTTCTTTAACATTTACAAACACTTTACACAAGAGAGAATGAATATTTTATAGCCCTTGGCATATTATACTCAATGAATGATTGTTGAATGAATGAAGTGGTTTTAGGATGCTGGATAAGAGCTTATCTGAAGCAAGTCATATTTCTTATTATATGCAAGATTGTTTTTATCAGTTCTCACCTAATGTAAAATAAAAATGATTCAAAGGGGGATAGTTGGACTGAAGTTAATAAATGACTTTTTTAATTTTTTTGCTTTGTATTCTTGTTTATTTTAGGTTTACTTGGAACAAATCTTGCCTATTTTCTTATGTATTTTTGCTTTCTGGTGTTTTCTATTAATTAGATATTTCTAATAAAAAATATTTCTTTTCTTTTCTTTTGGTAGGGAAGTTGATTAGGTTTACTTATTTATTTTTAGGGGAAGTATTGGGGATTGAACCCAGGACCTCATGCATGCAGAGCATGCGCTGTACTACTTGAGCTACACTCTCCCCCTAAGAAGCATTATTTCTAATGAGAAAAACTAAGTGAAACTTTTTAAAAATATAGTTTGTGTAGAGTAAAATGGAAGGAAAATTAACTTTTAAAAATTCATTCACTGTGGTGTTTTTGATTGTTACAGGTTGGCTGTCTGGCTATTCATGTAAAGAACTGCAGAAATTTTACGCCTAGGAGTATCCTTTCTTTTGATTTAAGAACCACACTATGATCATATATGACTGTTTGAGTTATATTTTGCTGCATTAAAAAACACCCCAAAGCTTGGTGGCTTAAAGCATTAACCATTTTATTATCAGTCACTATCTGTGCTTTCACGGGGCGGTCCTTCTGTTTCATGTTATCATAGCCGGGCCTGCAGCCATCTGGCAGTTCAGGAGGGCTGGAATATCTAAAAAATGGCTCGTTTACATGTCTGGTGCTTTGGTGAGAATGCCTGAAAGACTGGACTTAGCTGGGATGCTGAAAGGGTTAGACCTTTCTTTCCATGTAGTCTCAGGGTCTTATCTGTCATTATTAAAAAAAATTCTGCATTAATTTTGATTTTAAAAACAGTACATTGAAATACGATCTTGATTACTGAAACTTTGATGCGACTTTAAATTTTGCACCCTGGCTGGTGCCTCTCTCAGCCTATCCTAGTCTCAGCTCTGATCATGTCCCTCTCATGTTAAGGGAGTCACAGGACCAGGCCATATTCAAGAGCAGAGGAAAATAAACTCCACTTTTTGATGTGGAGAGTGACAAGACATTTTTAGCTGTCTGTAATCCATCCCAATCATCATATAAATTAAAAAAATATATATCTTCTTGTATGATAATACTAATTTCTTTCTTTCCTTTTGTTTTTTTTTGGTGGGGGGTAGGTAATCAGGTTTACTTACTTATTAATTTTTAGAGGAGGTGCTGAGGATTGAACCCAGTACCTTGTGTATGCTAAGCATGTACTCCACCACTTGAGCTATACCCTCCCCCCAATACTAATTTATTTCTAAGTAATAACTATGCTTTTCTTAAATGTTCTTTAAAGGATTTATTTTTCTCAGTGCCTTTAAATAAGCTGAATGCTTATTATTAGATTTATCATGGCATAAAACCAGTCTCATTATAAAGACTTGGTGTTTTTTTTTTATATAAAGTGAACTAGTGAAGAGAATTCTATATAAAAAGAGTTTTGAAGACAATCATAAAAACAAAATTTTTAAATGCATAAAGTGCTATGAAAGATAAAAATATAGACCAATCTGGCATAAGTATATAATGAAATGAGTTAAAAAGTAGAATGCTGTTTTAAATTTTGTTGTCTTAAAATTAAGAATAAATTACTCTGAAATGACATATCTTTTAAATATCTATATAATTATGCTTGGGAAAAATTTTTCAAGTATATATTGCCAATGTTTTAGTCACCTTAAAAAATAATATAAAGGAAAAATTGCAAAGGGATTATAATGGAAATGTGAGGATAATAATATGAGAAGTGACCTAAGGAAGAATCAACCTTTTCCTTATATTATGCCTACCACTGATGGGCAAAAATACTCTTTTAAAAGACTTTCCTTATTGTTTAATATGCTCTATTATTTATGTATTTATTTGATTGATTCTTAGGTTTTAGCCTGGATTGTTTAATGGATTAACTTTATAGTGCATTATTGTTCAGTAACAACAAAATATACTTCCTCAGTTTTTTAATGGATTAATTTTGTAATGTGTTATTAATCAGTTACAACAAGATTTGCTTCCTAAATATCTATTTTCAGTCCATTTACAATATTATAATAATTTATTCATTCGCATCTCTATAAACAACATGGTGAAATGTACAAAAACTTATAGCTTGCTATCGTCAAACAATGAAAAGAACACTATAATTACATTTGATGATGTGAAGTATTTTTCTGTACAGGTAATGTTAAAGTTCTCTTCTAGATATAAGTATGCATTTTTATAGTTTCAAATATTCTACACTTACAGTATCTTTTTTTCCCAGGGAATAGGAAAGAAACCAAAGTGATGTTTTTTTATTTGATATTTTATAGTATTGTAGTTCTATATTATAGACTATGTTGATGTTTTATGATTTACTCTAGAATACATCATCATGGTGTTCTTCTCTGAGATCCTACTGTCTGTGATTCTGAGTGTTTATCATGCAGGCATGCATTTTTCTCTGTCATATTCTTCTCCTCCCATCTATCCTCTTCCACTCTGTCTTTGTCAGCTTGGGCTGCTAAAGCAAATTACCATAGATTGGGTGACTTACACAACAGACCTTTATTTCTCACCTTTCTGGTTGGTAGGAAATTCAAGATCAAACATGCTGACTTATCTGGAGTCTGGTAAGAACCTGCTTCCTGGTTTGCCAGTGGTTGTCTTCTCATTGTATGTCAGAGAGCAAAGAGAGACCATCTTTCTTGCGTCTCTTCTTATAAGGATACTTGCCAGATTCACAAGGGCTCCACTCTTATGAACTAGTTACCTCCCAAACACCCCCACTACAAATACCGTCACATTGGGGATATAGGCTTCAGCATATAAATTTTGAGGTGACACAGACGTTCAGTCCATAGCACACCGTTTCTTTCTTTCTTTTTTTTTTTTTTTTGCCTCCTGCTCCGTTCCCTCTCTCCTTTCTTCTTATATATACTCTAATTATTTTTGCATGGATTAGCTTGTTCAGTCTTTATAACAAACCCTCAGAATATCTATACACTTACTGTCATCCTTGTTTTGCAGATGAGGAGGCAGGTAGTGTCAGGTTTAAAGAACTTTCTTAAGGTCATAGAACTAGTAATTGGTGGAGCCGGGAATGTAATCTGGCTTTAGGCTCAGTTCATTAAACTCCCTCTCACACAGAGCTTGCTGTGCTGAGTTTGCTTCTGTTTTTAGTTAAGCTTCTTAGAATCTTAAATGTATCTGAATTGTCTTTTAAATGAGCAACACTTTCATTTAGCCATTGGATTCATTGATTAGTCCAATTGTTTCTAATAATTTTATTACATTAGTTGAATTTTAGTGAAGTCCTAAAACACTTCCTCTATGCCATATATATATATATATATATATATATATATATATATATAAATATAAAAACTTCATTTTGCCTAAGTATTGAGTATTGAAGATAGTTTTTTAAACATAGGTTAAAAAAGGCATTGTTTTGCTAGGGGAAATCTGTGTTATTTCTTTTACTTTGCAAATAATTTTCCTCAGCTTCATTGCAGAGTTTTCAAGAATTTTGTGGATATATGTCCACTTAAATAAAACTTTAAATTAATACCAGAAAACAATATATATTAACAGGGTACTTATCTTCATTAGAATAATCAAAATATTTTCCCTGTATTTATTTTAAGAGGAGCCATTAGTTTGAGTCTAATAAAAGGAGAGTTTTAGTGAAACTCTAATGGAAAGTTTGGGAATGACTTAGTAATTAAATTCATTCCTTATGTGCTCATTTTCCTTGGAAAATTGTCTTTGGGCCTTCTTTGAGGTCTAGGATGAAAGTAGCATCTCTGAGGAGTACTTGTGTTTGCCTCTAAGAGACTTAAGGCCACTACCAGCTTGGTGCCACTTGAACACTTTATATTCCATACTTGAAGGCTTTAAAAAATAGTTTTTGTTTATTTGTATTAATGGTTAAATATACATAATATAAAATTTATCACTTTAACCATTTTGTGTCAAGCTTGAGGATTCTTATACCATCCAGCGGATGACCTAGCAATTCCACTTCGTGTATTTATCCAAAGAAAACAAAATCACTATCTCAAAAAGATATCTACACCCCCACGTTCATCACAGCATTTATAATAGCCAAGACATGGAAACAACCTAAGTGTCCATCCACAGTGAATAGATTAGAAACATGTTCCATAAAAAGAAAAAAATCCTGCTATTTGCAACAACATGGTTGGACCTTGAGGGTATTATGCTAAGTGAAATGAGTTGGACACAGGAAGACAAATACTGTTTGATCATTTATATGTATAATAAAGCCGCTCCCCACCTCCACCCAAACTCATAGATACAGAGAATGGATTAGTGTTTGCCAGAGCTGGGGCTTGGTCGAGGTGGGGGTATGAAATGGGTGAAGGTGGTCAAAAGGTACAAACTTTCAGTTATGAGATAAATAAGTCCTTGGGATCTAATGCACAGCATGGTGACTATAGTTAACAATACTGTATTATGTAATTGGAAGTTGCTAAAAGAGTAGATCTTAAAAGTTCTCATCATAAGAAAAATATTGTAACTGTGTAATGATGGATGTTAACTAATCTTATGGTGATAATCACTTAGTATTATATACAAATAGCAAATCATTATGTTATACACCTGAAAGTAATGCAATGTGATATGTCAATTATATCTCAGTTAAAAATTTTAAAGGCACTAATATTCTAATACTCAAATTGGCAAAAGGGTGTATGAATTTTAAAGGTCACATAACGATGGTATTGTGTTACAGGGTTCAAGGTTAGAAGAGAGTTTCAAGTTGAGACAATGATACGAATTTTATTGAAAAGTTAAAGAGCAAAGACTGGAAAGGATATTGGATGTCTTTTGAAATAAGATGTTTGGATTACCTACATTTTTTTGGATTGGATATTGGGTATTGGACTACCTTTGAAAATGTAATTTCAGTAGAGTATTGAGGCTAAACTTTTGTGTAGAGTTAAAAAGAGAGTGTCAGCAGTGGATGTTTCAAAAAGAGTGTAAGTGACATTAGACATAAACAAGAACCTTATTTTTGTTGGCATTAGGGTATATGTGACTGTGAGACTGGCTAATAACATAAAAACTAATCACTAGGTGTGTACATATATATATACGTAGTTTATAGGTGTATTCAGGAATTCTGTCAGAAGTTCAGGCTGAAAATTTAATTCTTTTCATATGTATTTTTTATGAAGGTTCCCAGACGTCAAGATGATGAGAAGAATAATATTTACTTAGAACTAATGCGATATGACGATACAAAAAGGCCTAATTTTTTAGGGAGTGTTCAGGTACATCTTTATGAAGTAATTCAGGTATGTATCAAAATCATTTTTTCACCTTGATATCACATTGTCCAGTTGGTGTTTGTTGTTATGATTTTTTTATACTTGATGGACTGCTTTTGTTTATTATCTGTCATCAAATTCATGTGCTTAGTAAACAGTATCTCCCTCTGGTTCAAAAAAAAAAAAAAGAGTTGGTTTGTAACAGCGTAATGTTTTTAAAAATTTATTTTCTAGAAGGGCAGTGATACAACGTAAAAGACTAAGCATGTTTTGTTTTGTTTTCTGAAATATTTTAAAACAAGACTCAAACCACAAACTCTCTTAACTGGCAGCACCAGTTTCAGTTCTTTATCCTTAGCTGGGCTGCTTGCGGTCTGCCCTGTGCATGTGTCATTTAGGGGTCAGCCAGAGTTTGGGGCAGAGTTTACACATAGATTTTGTGGTTCCTTCCCTCTTGATTTTTCCTTTCTAGGAGTCCCTCCTTCACTTTCCAGTAGCCATAGTTGCCCTGAACTCAGAGGAAGAGGACTAATTGATTAGTGAACAAGTATAAACAATTTGAAGGGTTTTCAGAAATATTTGTTAGGACATAAAGCAAGGAAGCCCTCAAAGACTAATGGAGTTCCTTCAAAAGACATGGGAGCCAGATTGCAGGGGTTCCTCCTGGCCTGTTTCAGGATAATTTAACCACCAAAAAGATCATTACAAATTCTGATTAAAGAAAAATCGATGAATCCTTGATGAACTTCAAAAAAGAAAAAGCATGGGAAGAGAAAAGGAAGTTTTACATTTTTAACAGAAGAATGTCAATTAATAAATATGGAAGGGATGATAGAATTACAAATTCACCATTTTTGCAACTCTTCATAGTGAATAATGATTAAGTCAGTTAAGACATAGTAATGGTACTAAAAATTTTAGGCTATTGGAGGACAAGATATTTACATGGTACCAAAGTAACAGCACATAGAATAATTTTTGCAAAGGGGAAAATGTTCCTCTATAATAGAACTGATAGTATATTTATACAATGGAATACTACTCAGCTATGAAAAAAATAAAATAATGCCATTTGCAGCAACATGAATGGACCTGGAGAATGTCATTCTAAGTGAAGTAATCTAGAAAGAGAAAGAAAAATACCATATGCTATCGGTTATATGTAGAATCTAAAAAAAATAAAAGACAAATGAACTTGTTTACAAAACAGAAACAGACTCACAGACATAGAAAACAAACTTATGGTTACTGGGGGGAAGGGATAAATTGGGAGTTCAAGATTTGCAGATACTAACTAATATATATAAAATAGATAAACAATAAGTTTATACTGTATGTCAGAGGAACTATATTCAATATCTTATAACTTATGGTGAAAAAGAATATGAAAATGAATATATGTATGTTCCTATATGGCTGAAGCACCGTGTTTTACACCAGAAATTGACACCACATTGTTAACTGACTATACTTCAGTAAAAATTTAAAAAATAGGTTAGCTCTAAGAAAAAAGTTTACAGGAAAGGAAATATAATGATATACTTATGATTTAACTCCTTTTAAAACTATTTATATGAATTACTTTGATTTTTAAACTAAATTTAAAAGCTAATAATAAATTCATAATTTATGGTGAAAAAAAAAAAGAAGTGATAGTCACCACTTAACCAAGAGCTTGAACTTAGCATAAGTAATTACATTTAATCTAGATGGAAAGTATATGGAACTTGTAGTGTTTCAACTGATTGATATGTTTGAAACCTTTTGTGATAAGAGCTTAGGAAATCAGATAGCTTTCTAATAAATTAGCAAAGAGGCATCAAGTGATCACAGAGGAGAACATATTGACTATGAATAAGAGTAAACAACTGAGGGTTCTCAGAAGAATCTGGGGAGAAGATCTGGGAAATGACTAAAATTCCTTTTACTTTGTATGGCAATTTAGGTGTTAGAAAAATGTGACATAATTTATTAGTAACATTTTGTTGAAGGAGCTATGTTTGGACTATAGTTATATGGCAAACTTTCCAGTGTTTATTTTTATAAGGGTACATTTTTTAAATGAAAAATATTACCCTTATTCTACAGTTCTAATATAACATTTAAGTTCTCAAAAATTTCTTCTAATTCTTTTTTCATAAACATAAGCAGAAAAATAGGAAATATAAAAAGAACCAAATTCAGTTTCTAGACCTGTTGTTTTCCTCATTGTAATGCCTCACTAGGAGCTGAGACGGCAGGTGATAAGTAGTTTCTCGTGGATTGTTACGTTTGCGGGTACAGAGGACATGTAGACCAGGTGCCAAAGTTTTTGCCAAGTGAGCATTAGTGACCAGAATGTCCGAAAGACGTGCCAGATAGCATGGGGCATAAAAGAGGAAAGCTTTCTATCTACCTAAAATAATAAGATCTGAAAGCAGTAGAAGGGAGTGTGGAGGATCCTACTCCACCACCTGACCTTGAGCTATGTGGTCCTTTGCTTGAGGAGTCTGAAAGGGGAGCAGCATCCTTAGTGGTGAGTCAGGTCTGAGGGAAAGCAAAGGGGAATGTTTAGTGGAGCAGTTGAAGATGTAAAGTTGTTTGTTAACTGTGGAATGGGGATTTCATGAGCCCCAGTGGAAAATGCTGGGAAGAAAGGGAACCATTGGATGTTGGATTAGCACAGCAGGGATGACCAGAAATGATGACCAGAAATGATGACCAAGGATACCAAAGGTTTACCCGGTCAAAAAGATCCCAACAGTCCCCAAGGGATAAGAGAAGCACGCAGTTCTGTCATGAGTCAGCCTATCAGGTAGACTTATGTTTAAGTAAACTCTCAGAGGAGTGCAGGCATGGCTTTTTCCTGTAAGACTTCCAAAAAGGGGAAGTGTAAGTAGCAGGAACATTTTTCTTTAAAACATAAATGTAGATATTAACATTTATTTCTGGTACAATCTGGAATTTTTATTTTCTTCTAATCATTCACTGTATTTGTATTTTAACTATTAAATTAATATGTACATTAAAATCATTATCTAATTTTTTAAAATTTATGAGATGGTTTAGATAATATTACAAGTGACTAACATCAGTGATTCTATATTTAAGAATTTTATTATTTCTTATTGTTTTCTAGAAAGGGTGCTTTACTGAAGAACTCCAAATGTTGAATAAAAACATGGTAAGAACTTTACTGAAACTTCCGAAGCTTTGTGCACACATTTAACATTTCATCTAACTTTACTCCCATACTGTTTTTATTCTTTTGTTACCCTACCAGTGACTGTTTGAATGAATAGAATGTATTAAACAGAGAGTATAATATTTGCTCACGAAAATCTTCATCTCCACCTTTTTAATAATGCTGCTATCTTACTGCCAAATGGTGTACAAGAAAATTAGAAATTGTTGGGTGGGAGAGTGAAATGCCTCCAGCTGCTTCTTTGACTGCATGACCTCAGGATCCTCACTTGCTCAATTGAGGAAGTATTGTTTTCCTCCTTGAAGAGTTTCTAAAGAGTTGCTTATAGTTCTTACTTGAATTTCTTTTTAAGTGCTTAAAACTTACTATCTTGATTAATTGATCTTCTACTCAGAGAAGCTTCTGCTGCCAATAACTAAATCAGGGACAAGGGACATAAAAAACAGAATGATGGACATTTGAGGTCATAACCTCTGACAGCCTCCTTCATCTCACATGTGAGCAAGCTGGGGTTCAGAGAGAAGAAATCACTTGTATAAATCAAAATTTTATCAGAAAATGGAAGTGGAGGTGGGAAAAGTGTGAATAAATACTTTAAAAATATATAATGGATAAGAATGCTGATATATTTAAGTGTATCTCAGCATAATTGTAGTAACAATTATAAATGAATATTTTTCATATTTTAATCATATAATATTCCTTAATTTTAGCATAAAAGGCTTTTAACACTTCAGGAACATCATAGATTCTTCTGTAGGAGTTACTTGTGTAAATTTTTTTTTTGATCAAGAGATTCATGTTTTGGTTTTTCTAACTTACAAATTTGTGAAGTAAAAATATCACTTGCTATCACTTCTCTGTTAAAATAGCTTCCTGATCAAGTAATAAAATAAACTTGGCTCATGTTTAGTTTATCTGCAGGGTGGTAGTGGAATTTATGTTCTCCTATGGAAACTTTGGTTATGGATTTTCACATCAGGTTAGTTCCCTTTTTGAAAATAATTCTGCTCTAACTCTTTAGTCAAATCATCCTCCTCAGCCTCTATTCTTTCTAGTCTGATAAATTCTTTAAAATAAATATTTTTAAGGAATGCCATTTCTGGCCTAAAGAAACATGAAACTGTTCCATTATTTATTTATACATTTAAAAATAATGATATTTTATTCAAATGTCTGTACTATACAACTTGTTTGCATGTGTATGTACATTGAAAACAAAATTTAAGTATTCAAGAAGTGAGTGTGGATTTTCATAAAAATGGAGTCCTTGATGTTGTTCAGTTAATATTTTGTACTCTGATCACATACAATCCTTTCTCCCCAAGACTATTCCAACATCAACCCTTCTTGATTCGTCAAGAGAGTAATATGCCCAAAGAAGATCCCTTCCTAGCTTTAGCCTGCCCCTTTAAATTTATGACATATATCCATGTTGCAGTGAAAATTTTTGTACATTAACCTATATCCTTTTCTTCCATTATGTCTTAGGCTGGATTCCTAGAATGGAAGTTATTGTCAGTAATGACCTTTTCAAGGAATTGTCCTAGAAAAGTTGTACCAACACATATTTTCACCACGCATTTGAAAAAACTCTTGCTATCCCTGGGTATTATCACAGCTTTTGGGCATTTATAAATCCAGTCCCATTAGTACTTCTGGTATATAGGGGAAATGACCCCTATACTTTACATACAATCTTTAATTTTCAGTTTTTGCTGTTTTTTGTTCTCTTGGTTGTTTTTTGATTACGAATTGAGAGTTGATACAGCAGTCTTATTAAGTATGTCTGCCATTGTGGTAACAGGGAAGTCCCTGTGAAATGTGTTTTTAAGTTTTGCCTGTGGTGTATATCATAATGTTTTTTTAACACGTTTTGAATCACAAGTGAGTAATATACTGATAACTAGACATGAGCTTTTCTTTTTCTGCTTTTCTTTTTCTTTTCGTTCTGCCTATTTTCTTTATTTTCTTGTCATGAATTAGGCCTAATAGGGATTCCTAATTGTTTAATCCTTTTTGTGGCGGTCGTAGTTTATGAGCACCAACTTCAGAAGTAGGTGTTCTGTCTGAATATAAGTATATCATGTGACAATCCCATTCTTAGGGAGATACATCCATTTCAAATAAGACTGGGCGAGTATTGTATTGTTTTATGTAGGTGGACTCTACTAAAACTCAGAGCAAAGGTATTGTAAGGAAAAGAGTGGGAAATTTCATAAAAGTTCAGTTTCATAAAAGTTCATTTCTGTGAACCTTTCAGTAATATAGTCCCCTACTTACCTATCATGATAGCATGTGAAGAGTACTGCACTGGGGGAGAGAGCGGTGTGTTTGAATCCTGCCTCTCATGCCTATTGGGTAACCCTGAACAAAGAACTGGTCTTCAGTATTATCTGTAAAATAGGTGCAGTTATCTGCCTTACAGGATTATTGAAAGGATTAAATAATATTAAAATTGTAAAATTCTTGGCAGATATTTGGTGCTCAATGTTCATTCTTTCTTCCTCTCTCAATTCCTTTTCTCCATATATGTATCATTTAAGGCCTATTCTGTAGTCCCGGGGGATAGTAGTATTAGGGTGAACTATAATGGTAACTAAACAGTGTTAATATATACTTATTATTTTCTTCAGTTAAAACCTCTTCAGAGAATGATTGAGCCATGTATGTTTATGAATGTTGCACCGCCTCCAGAAAGAACAGACCCTGTGACGTAAGTGTTAGTCTTATTAACACAATCATATCATGTGGCATTTAAAATATTTAATCCATTGATGGAGCACTTTGGTTGTCTTAAGGCATGGCTTGAATGGGCTAGACTCCAATGTAAAGAAAGTGAATTGTTTTGCTTAAGATGGAAGAGATTTTTAGTTTCTGGGGGTAGCCCTGGAAAGAGGAGTTGAGGAAGTCTGGAGATAAGAAGAAGAGAGAAGTTGCCAACTTCATGGCTGATGGAGGGAAGAGAGGAGAAACCTGATGAGGAAGGTTGACCAGTGAGATATTCCTTTTGCAGAAAGACATGAGGAACTTTTAAGATTAAGGTGCCTAATTGTTGTCAGTTTTCTGCTCTGCAGTATAGTAGTGTTACCTCCACTTCCACATACTCCAATTGTTACTTTAAAATCTTCAAGAAAAAGTCTATGGTCAAAAAATGTCTTTAGCAGACCAAACGTAGCTTAAAATATAGTATGTCAAACAGTGTTGAAATGCCAACAGTAAAAATAGATCACCTGAGGGAGAGATATTTAATCTACAGTGCTATCCACGAATAAGGAATGGAAAATACTTTAAATGAGATTGAGGGAATTAGGTATAGAATGGGAAATTATTTTCTGAAGTGCATATTGTTCTGAAGTCTCATCAACACTGGGTATTATTGTTCAAATAAATTTTATTCACTTAATATTGGTGATTTGTTGGAACAGTAAAGTTGAATGATTTTCTTGTGTTTATTGATTGTTATTTCCTTATCCATCCACTGATTCAACACTTACTGAATGTTTGCTACCCTCACGAGGCAGTAATAATACAAAGGTAAATGGTCCCTGCCCTCAAGTAGCAAAGGTAACATGTAAAAAGAAATGTGATGGTACAGATGAGATAGAGCCTTCCTAGAGGTAAACATAAAGAACTGTGGGACACAGCTGTGGAGCTTCTCATACTTCTCAGGGGAGTTAGGAGGAAAGTATTATCAAGTAAGGCTCCACTTCAAGTCTTGAAGTAAGACTTGAAAAATGAATAGTAATGCATCGGGTTGATTTTATAAGGGTGAGGAGACACACTGCCCCCAAAAGACACATAAGTAAACGGTGGGATCCACAAGAGGGTATGTTATATTGGAGAACAGTGAGTAGTTAGTTGTGGGTTGCTAAGAGCATAGGAGCATGGAGGGGAACAACGGGAGATGACCTGGAGCAGTAGGTGGGGACAAGATATGGTGGTCAGACTCTAGAGCCAGACTACAAAGGCTTACCATTTCGGCTCTGCCATGTACTAGCTGTGCAACCTTAGGCAACTTACTTAGACTCTTTGTGCTTTATCTATTAAGTGGGATAAAAATAATAACTACCCAATTAAGTTACTGTGATGATTCAGTAAGTTACATATAAAGACTTAGAACATGATAGCAACTGGTAAAATTCCTAGTTAGTTGTTGGCTACTTATTAAAGTAATAAATATCTTATCATCACCATCATCATCATTGAAGGTTTAGGGTTCTCAAATGTGAGTAAATTTTGTTCCTCTGAGTCCTCAGGAGTGTGGCAGGGCAACACAAAGGCACTGGAGAATACAGTGCATCTTTCTGGAGCATTATTTTTGCTCAGAGATTTTGAGAGGGAAATGTTATCTTAAAATTAACATCTACATGTTATGCCTTGGAATATAAAAGTCACATACATTTTCAAGATAACAAAATGATTCCAAGAAATGGTGTGGTTTGTATCTGATTGCATTAAGTTACACCCCTGGAGACCATCATTGTCTTCCACCCACAGGAGTTCTTTATTGGAAAATTTTGGAAGTGCTTCAGATGTAGAGCCATTGAAGAATTTTAAGTGGGGGAAATACCATGATCAAGTTGCATTTTTATATGATTCTGTCAGTAGGATTGAATATGGACAGAACGGTTTAAGATTGGAGGTAGCTGTTGTATTAGTGTACATGAGAGATACTGACAATTGGAACTAAGGCAATGACTTGGTGGGTGTGACAGTTAATTCTGTCAAATTGACGAGGCCATAGGGTGCCTAGATATTTGGTCAGACATTATTCTGGGTGTTTCTGTGAGGGTGTTCTTGGATGAGATTAACATTTAAGTAAGTAGACTGAGTAAAGCAGATTGTTCTCCCTAATGTGGGTGGGCTTCATCCAATCAGTTGAAGAAGTGAATAGAACAAAAAATCTGACCCTTCCCTGAGTGAGAGAAAATTCCTGCCTTTGACTGGAACATTGGCTTTTTCCTGCCTCTGGACTTGAATGGAAGTATCAACTCTTCCAGCATCTCAAGTCTGCAGACTTTTAGACTGGGACTACACCATTGGCTTCCCTGGGTCTCCAGCTTGCTGACTCATCCTGCAGATCTTGCAGTTTGTCAGCCTCTGCATTTGATTTGCAGCTTGGGAAGTTAAAAAAGACTCCCAACAGTTTGGTTACTGAAACATGGACCAAAAGATAGCCACTGTGAGTGAACTGAAAATGCCAGACCTACTTTGATTTAATGTAGAGGAGGGATTCAAAACTTTAGAGAGATTGTAGTGTTAGAGTGGATTTGTCACTTAAGACCTACTTATTCACCCTGGGAGGTTTCAGAAGACACATTTTTCACCACGACTGTGAGAAATAAGTTTGTGAAAGAAGCCCCCCTTGTAGAATTCTGTGATTGCTCTTCTTTATAGGCCTGACCTTACAGTAGGATGCACAGTCACTGAACTGAAAAACCTAAATGAACTGGAGATAGTCATTCTAAGTGAAGTAAGCCAGAAAGAGAAAGAAAAATACCATATGATACCACTCATATGTGGAATCTAAAAAAAGAAAAAAGAAGACACTAATGAACTCATCTACAAAACAGAAACAGACTCACTGACATAGCAAACAGTCTTATGGTTACCAGGGAGAAAGAAGGCGGGAAGGGATAAATTGGGAGTTTGAGATTTGTAAATATTAACTACTATATATAAAAATAGATTAAAAAACAAATTTCTTCTGTATAGCACAGGGAACTATATTCAATATCCCGTAGTAACCTTTAGTGAAAAAGAATATGAAGATGAATATATGTATGTATATGTATGACTGAAACATTATGCTGAACACCAGAAATTGACACATTGTAACTGACTATACTTCAGTTTTTAAAAAGTGATAGCTAACACTGATTTTAGAAGTGTACTTTTGTATAATTTTAATGTTTAACTTTATTATCATTTTGTAGCAATGTTATCATACCACAGCCAATAGAATATCCAGCATTCTTATCCCCAGAGTTGAATGTTACCGTTGGGGCATCCACTACAGCACCCCAATCCAACCAGTCACCTGTAGTGCGACTTGAAACACTTCAGCAACAACCTCGGGAAAGGTAAAAATCAACAAAACAAAACAAAACAAAAAAAATTCATCTTACTTATATGTTCTTTAGATTAATTTTTTCCTTTGACACGTGGGCTTGCTACTGGTCCAGAAACCTTCGTCATGATATTTCATGGGTTTCAGAGGTTCTTTCAGAGTTTTGCTTATCATATTTAAGGGTCTGTTTAAAAAAGTCAATGCTATGTCAAGAAAAGAGATGAGAACTCATTTTTAAGGGAGAAAGTATAATATTTGTTCTGCCTCTTCACTCAACAATATATTCTATAGGTCCCATCCTTTTTTCTGTATTTTCCATCTTTTTCCCCTATGTTTTAGTCCAGATATTTTTTTCTGGTCTGTCTTATAATTCCTATTCTTTGTTCTTTGTTTTTAACCTGCTGTTAAGCCAACTGAATTCTTAGTTTCAGTTATTTCCTTTTCAGTTATGGAATTTTCCTTTATTTTATAGTTCTCACTTGTCTACCGAAATCCTCAGTATTACTTCTTAATTCTTTGAACATATTAATCATTATTATTTCAGAGTTCATCTCTGATAACTTGATTGTTTGAATTTCCTGTAAGTCTATTTTTATTGTTTTTTTTTCCTCAGAGTTTTCAGTCAAATTATATATTCTCATATGCCTAGTTGATTTTATCGAGTGCCAAACACTGTATTTGAAAATCAGTAGAACTAATCTGAGGCTCTTGATTATATGTTTTCACAGACAATATATACATTTGTTTCCACGTGGCAGCCAGGTATCCTAGGAACACTAGCGATCCCAGATCATTTTAGTTCAACTGAGATGAGATTGAAATGGTTTGAAATGACTTGGGCTTTAGTTCCTGTGAGCATTAGTCATTTTCTGGTTTACTCTTATTTCTAGCATCAAGACTGGGACTAGTGTGAGGCAACTAGGGTACAATATTTAAGGAGGCACTTTTTCTTGTGTGGTGCTTTAGAAAGCCTAGGTGTTTACCATGGCTTCTCATCCTTAATGGGATCTGAATTCTGGTTTTTGTTCCCCATCCTTATATACTTATCTCAAACAAAAAATTTTTAAATCTTTTGTCTAGCTTTTTAAGATGAGCAGTGAGATGGTTTGTCTGAAATAACCTATTCCATCATTGCTAGAGACAGAACTCCCAAATATTTTTTAAATAATTGTTTATGTGTATAAACAATTATAACTAAACAACTTTTTACTCAGAGTTATAAATTAATTCATAAACACTGAGCTGATGACCAAGGAACCTCTTTTTCCTCTAGTCCTATGTTTTATTCATTCAGTAACATTTGTTTATTTTTTTCCAGTTTTGTTGAGATATAATTGACATACAGCATTGTATTAGTTTAAGCTACACAGCACAATGATTTGACTTACATACATCATAAAATGATTACCACAATAAGATTACTGAACGTCCATAATCTCATATAGACTCAAAATAAAATAAAAAGAAAAAAGATTTTTCCTTGTGAGGAGAACTCTTAGGATTTGCTTTCATAATAACTTTCATATATAGCATATAGCATATAGCAGTGTTAATTATATTAATCATGTGTACATTACATGCCTAGCACTTATTTATTTTATAACTGGAAAGTTTGTAGCTTTTGACTACCTTCATACAATTCCCTCTCCCACCACTTCCTGCCTTGGGTAATCCCAAATCTGATCTCTTTTTCTATTGTTTGTTTGTGTTTTGAAGTATTACGGACCCACAACACCATATTAGTTACTGGTGCACAACATAGTGATTCGGTATTTCTATACATTACAAAATGATCACCATGATAAGTCTAGTTACCATGTGTCAGCTTACAAAGATATCACATTATTGTTGACTATATTCCCCAAGTTGTACATTTCATCCCTGTGACTTATTTTGTAATTGGGGGCTTCTACCTCTTAATGTCCCTCATCTATTTCACTCACCTCTCCATTCCCCATCAGCCTGGCAACAACCTGTTTGTTCTCTGTATCTATGACTCTGTCTCTGATTTGTTGTATTTGTTTTGTTTTTTAGATTCCACATATAAGTAAAATCCTACAGTATTTGTCTTTCTATGTCTGACTCTTTTCACATAGCATTACATACTCTAGATCCATCCATATTGTTGCAAATGGCAAGATTTCATTCTTTTTTATGGCTGAGTGGTATTGCATGTATATATACCACATCTTTATCCATTCATCTATCACTGGACACTTAGGATGCTTCCATCTTGGCTATTGTGAATAATACTGCAATGAACATAGAGAAGCATATACCTATTCAAATTAATGTTTTTGTTTTCTTTGGAAAAATACCCAGAAGTGGAATTGCTGGGTCGTGGAGTAGTTCTGTTTTTAATCTTTTGAGAAACTTCCATGATGTTTTCCATAGTGGCTGTACCAATTTACATTCTCATCAACAGTGCACTGGGGTTCCCTTTCCTCCCATCCTCACCAACACTTGTTATTTGTTGTCTTTTTTTATAATAGCTATTCTGACATTCTGTGAGGTGATATCTCATTGTGGTTTTGATTTACATTTCCTTGATGATTACTGATGCTGAGCATCTTTTAATATGCCTGTTGGCCATCTGTACGTCTCCTTTGGAAATGTGTATACTCAGGTCCTTGGCCCATTTTTTAATCAGGTTGTTTGGGTTTTTGTTGCTGTTGTTGAGTCGTATGATTTCTTTGTATATTAACCCTTTATCAGTCATATCATTTGCAAATATTTTCTCCCATTCAGTAGGCTGTCTTTACATTTTGTTAATGGTTTCCTTTGCTGTGCAAAAGCTTTTAAGTTTAATTAGGTTTCATTAGGAGACATATCCAAAAAAATATTGCTAAGACCGATGTCAGAGAATGTACTGCCTATATTTATTTCTAGGAGATTTATGGTTTTAGGTCTTACATTTAAGTCTTTAATCCATTCTGAGTTAATTTTTTTGTATGTAGATATGAGGAAGTAGTCCTGTTTGATTCTTTTGCAAGTAGCTGTCCAGTTTTCCCAGCACCATTTATCAAAGAGGCTGTCTTTTCCGCAATGTATATTCTTGCCTCCTTTGTCGTAAATTAATTGACCATATAAATGTGGGTTCATTTCTGGTCCCTCAAGTCTGTTCCATTGATTTGTCTCTTTTGTGCCAGTACCATACTGTTTTGATTACTGTAACTTTGTAATATAGTTTGAAATTAGGGAGCATATGTCCAGCTTTTTTATTCTTTCTAAATATTGTTTATCTATTTAGGAACTTTTATGTTTCTATACAAATTTTAAAATTTGTTCTAGTTCTGTGGAAAATGCCATTGTTACTTTGATAGTATTGCATTGAATCTGTAGATCGCTTTGGGTAGTATAGTCATTTTAACAATATTAATTCTTCCAATCTATGAGCACGGTATATCTTTCTATTTGTTTGCGTTGTTTTGCAAAGGAGGTCATTGACCTCCTTAGTTAGATTTTTTCCTAGGTATTTTCTCCTTTTTGATGTGATTGTTTTCTTAATTTCCCATTCTGATAGTTCATTATTAGTGTATAAATCATGACAGATTTCTTTTTTCTATCTTTTTTCTCTTTGACAGTGAATTCTTTTTTTTTTAAATTGAAGTATAGTTGATTTACTATATTGAATTAGCTTCAGGTCTATAGCATAGTGTTTCAGTATTTTGATAGAATATACTCCATTAAAAGTTATTACAAAATAATGGCTCTAATTCCCTGTGAAGTGCAGTATATCCTTGTTGCTTATCTATTTTATACATTTTTGTTTGTATATGGGATCTCTTAATCCCATACTCCTATCTTGCTCCTCCTTTATTTCTTCTACCCACTGGCAGCCACTAGTTTGTTTTCTAGATATCTGTGAATCTGTTTCTGTTTTGCTAGATACGTTTATTGTTTAGATTTCACAAATAAGTGATATCACACAGTATTTATCTTTCTCTGTCTGACTTCACTCAGCGTAATATGCTGTAGGTCCATCCATGTTACTGCAAATGACAGAGTTTCATTCTTTTTATGGCTGAGTAGTATTCTATTGTGTGTATATACCACATTCTCTTTATTCATTCATCTATTGATGGACAGTTGAGTTGCTTTCATATCTTGGCTATTGTAAATAGTACTGCTATGAACATTAGATTTCATATATCTTTTCAAATTAGTATTTTCATTTTTTTGGTTATATACTCAAAGTGAAATTGCTGGATCACATGGTAGTTCTATCTTTAGTTTTTTGAAAAGCCTCCATGCTCTTTTCCATAGTGGCTGCACCAATTTATATTCTCACCAATGGTGTGCAAGCGTTCCCTTTTCTCCACATCCTTGCCAACATTTGTTATTTGTAGACTTTTTGATGATAGCCATTTTGACAGGTGTGAGGTGATATCTCACTGTTGTTTTGATTTATATTTCCCTAATAATTAGCAATGTTAAGCATCTTTCATGTGCCTGTTAGCCATCTATACATCTTCTTTGGAAAAATGTCTACTCAGGTCTTCTACCCACTTTCTGACTGGGTTGTTTTTTTGATGTTGAATTGTATGAACTATTTATATATTTTGGATATTAATCCCTTGTTGGTCATATCATTTGCAAATATTTTCTCCCATTCATTAGGTCCCATTTATTTATTTTTGCTTTTATTTCTTTTGCCTTAGGAAGCAGATCCAAAAAAAATATTGATACGATTTACATCAAAGAGTGTTCTGCCTAGGTTCTCTTCTAGGAGTTTTACGATTTCAGGTCTTACATTTAGGTCTTTAATCCATTTTGAGTTTATTTTTTATATGGTGTAAGGAACTGTTCTAATCTCATTGTTTTACATATAGCTGTCCAGTTTTCCCAGCACTACTTATTGAACAAACTGTCTTTTCTCCATTGTAAATTCTTGCCTCTTTTGTCATAGATTAATTGACCATAAGTGCATGGGTTTATTTCTGGGCACTCTATTCTGTTCCACTGATATATGTCTGTGTTTGTGCCAGTACCATGCTGTTTTGGTTGCTGTAGCTTTGTAGTAAAGTCTGAAGTTAGGAGGTGTGATACATTTAGCTTTTTTTCTTTTTTCTCAAGATAGCTTTGGCAATTTGAAATCTTTTGTGGTTCCATATAAATTTTAGGATTATTTGTTTTAGTTCTGTGAAAAATATCATAGGTATTTTTATAGTGATTGCATTAAATCTGTAGATTGCTTTGGGTAGTGTGGACTTTTTTTTAATCATATGATATCACTTATAAGTGGAATCTAAAACAGAGATACAAATGAACTTATTTACAAAACAGAAACAGACGTACATAGAGAACAAACTTGTGGTTATCAAAGGGGAAAGGTGGTGGGGAGGGATAAATTAGGAGTTTGAGATTAGCAGATAAACACTACTATATATAAAATAGATAAACAGTAAGGTTCTACTGTATAGCATAGGAAACTATAATCAATATCTTGTAATAACCTATTATGAAAAAGAATATATATACATAACTGAATCACTATGCTATACACTAGAACTAATACAACATTGTAAATCAGCCAGGCTTCAATAAAATAATGATGTTACTATCATAAAAGTGATATAATGATATAAATTATTCAAGGAATAAAGAGATACAAAGAACAATATAAAAGCTCTCCTTGAATCCCACCATTCGGAAATATCAAGTGAATATTATTATAAATGTCTCCTCATACATTTCTTTAGCTAGGTGAAGAGACAGCAGAAATTATTTTATAAAAAGAGATACTATTGATATGATTTTATTTTTCTATTTTTAGGTTTTAAACTACATAAGATTAGTCATGTTCTTATGTATTATCTATTTTAAACATTGTCTATCAACTTCCTGCTGTGGCAAATGAAAATTTAGCTCACTTATACTTCTCTAAGCCCTCCTGTCTCCCTCCTGCCACAGTAATTACTTCACTACTCCTATTTTCTTTTCTTTGTTTTCATTTATTTTATTGCAGAAGATATCACATATATATTGAATAATTTATAAAATATGTATATATAGTTTAAATAATGAGACCTATATATAGGATAATTTCTAAAACATGTATGTATAACGTAAATAAAGATAATAAGATCATTGCCTAGATATTTTACAATCAGGTTAAGAAATACAATACCACCAATATTATAAATGTGTTTCATGTGCTCTTATGAGATTACATGCCTCTTCCTAACTCTCCCCAGGTAACTACTACCCTGATTTTTGTTGTAATCATTCCTTTTCCTTTGTATCCTTCAACAATACAGTGTTGGTTTTCTCCTTTAAGAACTTTTTATCAGTGTGTCACATTGTATGTGTTCTTATTTGATTCATACCATATATATTCTTTTGGCACTTGCTTTTTAAATCTGTAACTTTCTTTAGGCTGGAAAAAATGAAAAAAGAATATAGACATCTGAGTACATGGATAGAAAAAGCTAGCTATTTAGAAGGAGTTCTTAACCCAAAGTTGGAACTTAAAGAACCTAAGGTAATTAATATAATACATTTGCCTATATATAGTTTTTTTACTTTTTATTAAAGAACTATAATAATTAAAAGTGATTATCAGATATTGCTTATTTGTTCCCTCTGTTTAAAATGCTATTCATAGTTCATGTACTTTCCTATTTTGATAATATGACATTCAGTAAATACTGATTGATAATTTATAAAGTTTATTT